AGCTGAATGGTGGAGCACTTGCCTGGCATGTGACAGGCCCATGGTTTGATCCCCAGTACCACAAAATAAAAGCAAATAGGTGACAAATAGTTTGTAATAATAATTAAATGTTACTCTTATAAAATGTTTTGCTTACAGCCTCATTTTATCCTCAAAATGATCTCTGAGATTGGTATCATTGCCCTCCCTTCCAATGAAGAAATTAAGGCTCAGAGCTCATTACCTTGTAGAAAGTCAGATTCTGATCTGACTCCAGAGGAAAAGCTCTTAAACGCGCTGAATAAGACCTCTACAAACCCATGAAATTTTGTCTGAGGAGAGATATCAAAAAATAGCAAGATCCCACTACATGAAAGATACGTGTTTATTTAGTGGTATGCACTACAGTCAGAGGTATTGTTATGAATTTGTAGTCTGATAGGTAAACGGATAGACATTCTAAAAAATTGATAAAGAAGTGGAGATATATCCTAGTTCAGTCTGCTGAGAAGAACTAGAAGCCATAACATCACAATGGCACTCAGATCTTGGTTTCCAAATACCATTCCTTAATAAAATCAATCAAAACTCTTTGGAGAAATGGCTCATTCCAGGATTGGAGCATGGAAAGTAGAAATGAGCTTAGAGCATTGTGTGGTACCAGAAAATAAGAGAATGTGCTACAATAATGGGAACACAACCAGAAAAGGTGGCAAGTACCTGTAGTCCCAGCTCTTGGGAGCAGGATAAAAACTTTGAGGCCAGCCTAAGCCATAGAGCAAGTTCAAGGCCAGCCTAGATTACATACTGAGATCCTGTCTCAACAAAATTTTAAAAAATGATAGAAACACCTTGAAAGTACATTGAAGCTAATATGAAGGAATGTCTAGTAGTCAAATCTGAAGTAATTTCAGCCCTCAAAAAAATGTAAAAAGAGCATAATTAATTATAAACCATATAATAAAACAAATATTAATTAACTCGCTACTGCTATAAACAGGTCAATAGATAAATATAAATAGATAAATTAAAAATTAACAGGAAAAAGGAAAAGTTATATAGTAAAATTCAATTAGTTAATACAGATTTTAAGAATTAAGAATGCAATTTGGGAAATTTTACTATAATATTCAACCCAGAATCATCAATAGATGCTAAAATTAGTGAGCAAAAGTATGAGAAACAGATTATTTGCATTGTCTCAAAATATTGCCCTGCAAAGTCTTGAAAGACCTGCTCAATATATAAAGACAGAGGTGAGAAATAATGACTTTATAGCAGAAAAACACTGCAGATATTATCTTAACCAAGTTATCCAGGCTAACTCAAGATAGAGTCTTACGTCTTTCATGTATAGAAATCAACAGCCAAATAAAAACACAAGAAAAAACATACACACTTATACAGTACCAGGACAGATATTTACTGGTACATAAATGGGAACAAGGCTAAAGATACACAAAACTATGGAGGAGTAGGTAAACCAATAAAAATACAAAAATATATTGAGCATTTCAGTCAAAAATGTGCCATCATACACACATACCTTGCTTGTTCACAATAGACATGTTGCTGAAAAGTTCAGCATACTGGAAACTACGCACAAACTGAGTAATTAAATGAATCATAAGGCAAATCTCTGTCTCTCAAAAAGCTGACTTTTCCTATTGTACATGGGATTGAACCCAGGTCTTTTGCACTGAGCTACATCCCCAGCTCTTTCTTAATTTTTTTATTTAGAGACAGGATCTCATTAAGTCACTACGTTGCCCAGGCTGTTCTCAAACTTACATCCTCCTGCCTCAGCTTCTCAGAGTTCTGTGATTACAGGGGACAGCCACCATTCCTTGCAAATCTAACTTTTTATATATAGTGCATGCATAAAATCATACAGTCTGCTGCAGCAGCTGGTTTTAGATTCTTTTAAGTTACTCCACTCTAAACAGACACAAATACAGAGATCGAATTCTAATCTTTTTAAGTCCAAAGCTCTTTCCATTATGCTATGCTGCTTTTAAAATTGGCAAGAGAGGTAACCTTCATTATTTCTATTGCATCCTGTGTGTAAAAAAACAACAAAAAAAAATAGATGCAGTGATCCAAACAATGAACCTTAAAGAAATCTCTATAGATCACATAAAAAGGAGGCACTACAGGACAGTTGGTAAAGGCAAAGAATCTTGAATCAAATTGATTGAATTCAAATTTTCCATCTCTATAACTTATTGCTAATACACTAAACAATCTCTATGATTTTTAGTTTTCTCATCTGTAAAATGGAAATAACAGTATGTACCTCATACATCAGTTATGAAGAGGGGGAAAAGTAATTGATTAGTGTGCATGAGGCCCAGGGTTCGACCCCCCCTCCAGTACCACACACACACATACAGAGAATAAAAAAAACAACATATGTCACTATACTAGCAGCACAATGCCAGGCACATAATAAACGAAACAGAAACTGTGATGATAATTAACACAATGATGACAAATTCTTCCTTTGAAGCAGTACACTTCATAGAAGAACAATTAAGGGGCTAGGGATTTAGCTTAGTGGCTCCACACCTGCTTTGCAAACTCAAGGTCCTGAGTTCCATATCCATTATCAAAATACAGCAAATCACACTCTTGTCCATGATGAATTCTTGCTACTGATCACAAGGTACAGAATCCATTTTTATTAGAATAATCTGTCCACCCTACTGGGCAAAAAACAACTTACTAATATTTGTATAGAAGTAGTATAATTTCACATAATATCCATATATCTAACTACATATCCTAATTTCAGTGAGTCTGTACAAATATAATTATCGTTACATAAAAATACTCCAACTCACTTACGAGAAATGACTTTTTCAACCTACAGCAGCTAAAATCTTATGCTAACCTTTCATTTTAAAAGGTTACTTCATTCCATCTAATGACCATTTTGCCTAAAATAAAATACTTCCACATATTTGTGATATGCAAATTTGGGATGAGTTCAGGATAAAGAAATCACATAACCATGGGAAATGAAAGCAACTTAAGTAGCGATGCTCTTTTTGATACAGTATAAAAGTCTGCTTATAAGACTACTTCAGTCAACTATTAGCCTCACTACCATCAGGTTTTACTCTGGGTAAGGTCACCAATTTCCCTAGCATGGTATGGAAAACAGATACCATTCATATTTTTGAGATGATTAACATTCATCTTGACTACTGATGTGTGAAGCAAGAAAAATTCCTAGTTTTAACACAGGTACTATATTTTGATAGAAAAATGCTATTAAAATGTCCTTTAAAATTATATAAGAAAAAGGAAAAATGTAATGTACTTCATGAAAATTCAATTGCTACTTTAAGAATCCAAGAAAACAAGCTTGCTCCTAAATTTTGTCAATCATTAAAATAATCTCATTCTGAAAATAAATTGACAGTTCTGTTGTTATATATACCTGTACAGTATAAATCTGCTGTACATTTATTAATAGCGAGTTCAAAAGAGAAAAAGAAATATTTAATGAAACATTCACAAAATTATTTCCCCTTGGCCAAAAATCATAAGGAGTAAGTACCAAGTCTTATTCAACAGTACAATTGTGATTTTATTCAGCAGTCTGTAACCCTATTGACTGGCTGAACTTCAGCCCATAATGATGTTGAGCATAAAAAAAGCTCTTTTACATCATTTATCTACTTAAGTGAAGGAAAATTAAGGCATGCATAATTAAAATATTATATATGCATTGTTTTTCATATTATTCATATTTGCCATGATCATGTTGTGATTTACAGTAATATGAAAGTTTTCTTGAGTACACACTTGATGAAAGATGGAAAGACAGTAATGTGATCTGAGGTGTGTTAAGTATAATAGTGAAATAAACTAACTTAAAAGTGTTAAGCTATAACACAGCAGCTGCACATAACCAATTGAGTCACCCAACCATATGAAGGCCTAAGCCATAATCTCATATTAAAGTATTTTTAAAACCACCCATTATGATCACTTAAGTGTAACATTTAAATAATTTGTCACACTTATTCTTTAGAGGTTCAGTGAAATTAAGGATGACAGGCTTCAGGTTAGTGAACATTAGCTGTGACCAAGCCACTCATTCCCTTATATCTGCTCTCATCATCAGAAGGTCAGGGTGGTAGAAGATACCCTTGTAGAAGCTATATTGACGCTTTAATTCTACATTCTTGAAACCAAGTGGAACTTTTTGCTCTGTAGTATCATATGTACACTCTCCCCAGTGGTTCTGTTCCTTTAGAATGCTTGCTCTCCTTTGAAAACACACAATTCTTTTAATTAGGTGATGGGCTTAGTTGTTAGATGATAGGCAAACTCTCCATTGGTTCAGGTGCCTTTGTGAATTAAAAAAAAAAAAGCCCATAACTTTAAAACAAAAAGAGGAAAAAAAGCTAAAGCCTGAGGCCATCTGTCCTTACCTCATTCTTCCTGGAATGTTACCTTAGCATTTGTGTAACAAGGCTGTCAAAGGGGAAAGAAAGCAGGTCAGTAGCTTTACTGACCTAAAATGAGAGATAGATCCACATTGCTTAAGAAAAAAGTAAAGGGTAAGAATTTTAACTGGGAGTTTAACACTTTGAGAGATGCAGAATTTTAGAAGAGCCAACATATAAAACTATAGACAAAATTAAAAGAGTGCGTGGGTTGCGCACAAGTAGTGAAAAGGTTAGCAGGCAGGGAAACACCCGAGGGCGGAGGGAAGGAAAAGTTTTAAATACCCACCAGAGCCTAGAGAGAAATTAATGGGTTCCGCACCCTGCCCCTGCCCCAGAAGAGCTAGCTTCAGGGAAGCAAGCAGCCCTTGTTTTTAAACATTTTAAACCCTCCCTTGCGCTTCAGAAGGCTTGCCTTACCAGCGTTGTAAAAAACGTATATTCCTAAATAAGGAAAGCAAATTTGAAGTCCTTAGCCAAGGCCAAGAATAAAGAGAGGCAAAAGGACAAGAAGCGATTTGAGCGTGAAAGTGCGGTGATGGGGGCTGGGGGAGGACTTACCGCAGCCCCTGCAGGCTGCCCCCAAACACTCAGGGCCAGTAAGAACAAGCTGGCTGCCAGGCTGATTCCACGCAGTTTCATTCTTCCCGGGCTCCTCCAGCTCCTTCAGCACCAGCACGAAATCCCTGGCTGACTCTGACCGATTGACATAATCTTGAGGATTTATTGGGAGAAAGCTTGAGCCAGAGAGGGTCAGCGGGTTTTCCAATTGTGCCAGTCGGCTTGGGTGAAGAGAAAGAAGCTTTTTAAGAGTGGAGAAGAAAAAAAAGAAGAAAAAGAAAAATAAGTGGCTGTGCTTCCCTCCTTTCTCCCGTCCCCAAAGCCAGTCTCCCCGGAGCACCTTTCCCTTCTGTTCAGAGTTGCAAACTTTTTCCTCACTCAACTTCTGCAGATCTACTTTCCTCCCTCTCTTCTCTCCGCCCCGCCCCCTCCCCGCCTGCACCGGGGAATTTGGGTATCACTCCGCCACTGCTTTTGCACCAGCAACCTGCGAGGGAGTGACGCTCAGTTATTTGAAGAAGGGAAACTTGTAGACTAGTGGACTGAGTACCAGGTGCCCAACCAGGAAGCGTTTCTTTTCTTTCTTTGCACTTTACACTGACACTACTTTTCCCTGCTTAGTCCCACTGTCCTTCGTATGAGCCTTAAACCAATTACAAATAGATCTGAGCTGGGACTACTTTTTTAAGCGGATGAATCTCAGAAAAGGACCGCTGTTGATTGTTAATCATTAGAAACAAATTTTTGTGGCCGCTCTCTGGGCTAAGAGTCTTCTCTATCTTCCAAGTGCTCGCCGGGCAAAGTTCGTATACTCAGGCATAAGATGTGAAAATATTGGAAGTATATACTTATAAGTGAAGATGAAAATATATATGTGAATATTTTTTGGTGTGCCACATGTGTAAGATTTGGTAGCATTCTCTAGTTTAACAATAATTACATGATTGAGTGTTATTATTGAGTGTAATACAATCACATCTTTTTAGTCAGGTACATTGAATGCCATAATATTTACCTCCTATATTGAACTAATGTTAAAATATTGGCTGTTATAGTTTCATTACCGAAGGATTTACAGCAGAGAGCTTAATAACTTTGGTTCAATTTTCCTCAGAATGAACATAACACTTAATTGTAAATATGTATATACAGTTTATGGTAGTTGAATTTGGCATTACTTTGACAATCTGGTAGATTTTTTAAAGTATCAAATGGCCCAGAAACTATTTATGTGGGCACTTTGGAGGGTCTTTCCGGAATTTGCTGAAGAATTATTTTAAATACTTCTCTTAAGGTAGTCCCTAGTGTTAGTCACTTTAGAGACTTTCACTATTTGGGTCTATGTTATGGGGGCTCATTCATCCCTGGGCTCCACTGACCTTAAAGTAGATTTGCAACTCCAGAAACCCCCGTCCCTTCCCAAGTGCTTGGTGAGCAGACAGTTACTGTGAGTATTGTATGAATTTGGACCTGTGTGCATGGGCACTTTTGGGCCTGTCTAGGAGTAGTATGTCTAACTCTGTCTAATTTAACAGTGGTTTATGGACGTGTATGATGCACAGTTGCTTATGTCTTAGTGGATACGTCTCTAGAGACGTATGCATGAAGTTATGGAGACATTTGGGAATGTTTGTAGAGGTGGCTGAAAGTGAAAAAGACAACCAGCTGCCCAAGGGGGGATGATTGACAGAGGACGGCCCCGCCCCTTTCCCCTCCATTCCTTTCTCTCCAGGAGCCTGGAACTATTCTTGAGTGCTGCAAGTTGTAGTGAGCACCGCCGAGCGTCTCTCTTTGGGGTAGTTCTTATCTAAAAGTTGATTTTAGTTGCTTCTAAACTGAGCAGCTTCACCCCTTAACCCTGTTCTAAATAAGAAAGCAGCCGCATAGTATCAGCGAGCCCCCCCGATGAGCAAGCGCCGCGGAGTAGCTTAGCAGTCTCCCAGGACCCAGCTCCGGAGGAGCAGCAAGCATGCACCCTGGGTGAGCTGTTGCTGCACTGACCTCCAGTTCTCCACTTTCCTACTTCGGGCTACTTTGCAGGCCGGGATGATATTTATACTCCTGTCACTGCAAAAATGTGGGAGCAGGCATCAAAAGAGTTTGGGTGGCTACCAGCAGACACAGGACCCTGAAACCCAAAAAAGCCTGTATTACTCACCCTCCATCTCCTTTCAGGTTGTGGCTGCTCCTGCTTTCCTTGTGCCTGGCGGAGGAACTGGCAGAAGCGGTGAGTTTTCTCCTGACCGCTTTCCCTCCTGCTTTTTTGGCTGCCTCCCCTTCCCCACCTCTTGTGTGTGTGTTAGGGGGTTACAGAGTTGCACCCCAAAACGGACTCTCCTTTCTAATGGGAGTTAATAGCATTCTTGGAGAGGAGTAGCAAGCACAATGTTAGCTAATGCCTATGAGACCCAACCATCTTCCTGTCCTAAGACTTCTTAACAGGTTGGGAAAATAAAAGTAGAAGACACAAAATGTACACATTTTTTAGCCTATTCTTAATGACTTAAAATGATATCTGACGCCTTCTTCTGCATCAATCTGCGAAGCAAAAGAAACTTAATTTTCTTTAGTCTACAAGAATGAATTGGCACACAACTTTGAGAGTGAAAGGATAGCAACAGAGTGGAACTTGAAAATGTCACAAAGATTAAGGGAATTAAACTTAATATTTTGCTTGGAAGCCCTTTGACAGTACTAGGAATTAACTGATACCACGAGGTGTTGTTCGGTTTCTACCCGATGTTTCCTTTTTCTGGTTTTCTGCAACATCAGAAAATTAAAGTGTTTAGGACAGACAAAAAAATTCTAAGAGTTGACATTTAATAGGCTGTTTTGATATCATCCATCAAAACATCTAGAGACTGTGGGCAAAGGAATTTCTTTAGGTATCTGGTTGAAGAAAAGTTTAATGGATTCCAGAAAGTAGAGCAGTCGTCAATGAAATTACTAGGTTAATTTCACAAAGGTGGAGTGATGCAAATAATCAGAGATGGTGCAATTTTCCAGTTGCATTGGGTAAATATGCTAGCAGAGATAAAGGTAACGGCTGAGTTCAAATATGAAGTTGTACAACTATTGACTGCTATGCCATTGTTATATTAAAAATTCTTAATAATATTATTTAATATATCACTTATATACTATGTAGATGACCCATAATATATATTCCAAATGTTTAACTTGTGGGTTTTGATAATTTTAACTAATTTGCTCTATTTTTTAATATTTTAAAGTGTTATTTTCAGGACCATACTTAATTCAACTTAATAAAATCACCCAATACATTTATGAAAAAATACGTTACTGTATCTTGGCATATGATATCTTTAAGAAAATATCAGAATGAGGTGAAATGGTTTCTCTTATGAGGAAAGGATAATTCCAGAAAACTTGAAATTCTAAAATCTTGAGAAATCTCAATTCAGAACATCAACTCTAGATTGATGAAAGCAGAAACACTGATGTAAGGCTCTGCATTTCGCCATGTGACACTTCCAATATACTATTTATGTATTATCTTGAGGCTCAATACTATATTTATTTTTTTTATTCATTAAGTTTATTGGTACATTTTAGGTATACATTATGATCACATTCATCATTGGAAATTTTTACCTGTATGTGATATATCAAAATTATTGTTTTTTCTCCATTCCCCTTCCTTCACTTCTACCCCTCCACCTCTTCCTATTTACAAAAACTTTGTTTCCATTTTTTCCTCCTCAGATACTAAATTTATTGAAAGTGCCAAGTTTTGTTTAGTTAATAGTTTGTCCAGGAATCTTGCCACTTGTAAATACATCATGATTAGGCAGAAAATGTCTTCCAGAAAAACCTTTATTTTTTACTCTGCCTGATCTTATTCATTACACTTTTGGGAAAAGCACCACAGGTCATTCTAGAGAGCTGAAGACTTCCTAATTATTGAATCCCTTCATATGGTGAAGGATGATGTTTTCAGTTTTCCCAGGTATTATAATGTGAGTCTCCAAAATCAAGCAATGCTTTGGTGTGTGGGTTCTACACATTGTTTTGTTGTTTCACAATGTCATCTGCTAAGTCAGTGTGAATGACCATGTTTGAATATCATGTTAAAGGGTTTCAAAGATAGAGAAAATCCCTTCTTACTTTAAAGATCAAAAGAATTACTCACTTGTTTGGGGAATGTGTCTCTAGGAATTGCTAAATTAATCTTCTGTTTTGCCTGCTAATAAATATCTTATATCAGATAACCATAAAATTAAAATATATAATATATATTTATGTTTATGGAAGCATAGGATATCTATCTTGAGATGACAAGAATACTGATCAGATATATGAGTACACCATCAAGTAAATCATCAAATGACTATGTACATAGATAATGCATTGGATGAGAATATATTATTAACAGGCAAAGTATAAATATTTTAAGATAAGAATAGAGAGTATCTTGGTACATATTAAAGAAATGCTACCATGTCAAATTTATTAGGTATTTTGATAACTGTATTTCAGTGTAACTGGTTTCCATTGTAATTCTGTATGCATTTAAGAAAATTACTTTTGCTGTCCTGAAGATTAAGTCCAGGGCTTTGCACATACCTAAGCATACACTCAACCACAGAGCTATCTGCCCAGCCCAAGAACATTACTCTAAGAAGAAGACAATAGTCTTTACTACACAGCCAAAATAATCCCTGGCATAAAAAAGAACCCCAGGTTTAGGCAGTTGGTTTTTACAGTAAATTGTCATTCTCTCTGGTTGTTTCAGGTAAGAAAGGACTTATGTTGACTCCAACTGCCAACAATCTTTGAGTTTTTAGGCACAAGTATAGAGTCTTTGGAGAATATGCCCATATATTCTATGAGCACTGACACCAAGATCACAGGAGCAAAGTATGCTATTGCCCTAATTATCTTATTAAAATAAGAATAAAGTGCTTGGCTTGAATTATCAATACATATTATTTATTTCCTATTTGAATTGTATTGATAATTCCATAATTTTACCACTATACTTAGAGTACTAACTTGTCCTATACTGTATAGATAAGACATATACATATAGAAAGAAATATTAAGAAAGCTCTAGGCTATATTAAATTATCTAGTTGCTATCGGCCAACTGAATATACCAGTGAGGCAGTTTATAGGGCTTTAACTTATTTTCAAGCCTAACTAAATGTAAATTGAAGACATGATAAGCATGCACAAAAGAAAATTGTGATGGAAAAATTAACCAGGAACAATCATCTACTTCTCTTTTATCTTCTTTAATCTGTTCCGTCTCTCAGGTTTCCTTTTTTCTTTTACAAATAATATTGAAATCCCCATTATAATAACAAATTCAAAATCAAAACCAAGCAAAACCCTGGCTGGGCATGATGGCACAGCCTATAATCCCAGCACTCTGTTAGATGAGGCTGGAGGATTGGGCATTTGAGGCCAGCCTGCGCTATACTGCGAGTTTCAGGTTGGCCTGAACTATATAGTGAGATCCTGTCTCAAAAACCAAAACAAACCAGTAGACAAATACAAACAAAATAGAAAAAAAAGTTTAAATATAGCTTCATTTACTTTAGTAATGCTCAACCCTTCGAAGACATTACTGCCAAATTTCTGGTCATTGCATTGTCAGATCTTCTTCAACAATCATTTACCCTTTAACCTGTTACAGTATAGATTGAATCTACACCATGATTGCACTCTTTCAAGCTACTAGTGGCTGCATTAATGACTGGATTCTTTGCAGGTTCCATTCTGCCTGATTTCTTTATTGTGCTATTTGGCATTTTCCAATCATTCAGGATCTTTTTTCCCCTTTTTTAATATTCATTAAATTTATTGGAACATTTTAGGTATACAATATGATGACACTCATCATTGGGAATTTGTACCTTTACATGGTATATTTTGGTTCTTATTCTTTTCCCCATTCCCCTACCCTCCCTTAAACATCCTTGATTTTCAGGACATTGAATATAGCTCAATGGTTCCCTTTATACTTTTATGAATATTTATTTATTAAAACTTTATTGATTCAACAAATATTTATTGAGTACCCATTGTATTTCATGTAGTGTACTAATCCCTAGTTACAACAGACAAGTTAAACATGGTCTTTCTTGTCACAAAGTTTACAGTCTTCCTGACTTCGTGGTCCTAAAGCAATGACTTTTGCCATCATTTCATCCTTTACCACCTTCTTTCCTGAATGATTTTAACTGTGCCTACTATACATGGGTTGATCACTATCAAACTTATATCTCTAACCCTTTTGAGCTCCAAAACTGTGTTTCTAGTTGCCTACTGCCCTTGTACCTACCTGTCTCTTAATGAATTGATAGTGAGATGGATGATAGATAGATAGATAGATAGATAGATAGATAGATAGATAGATAGATAGAATCACTTAAAAGAGTACCTGGAGTTTAGAATAAACACTAAACCAAAGTGTGCAATTATTATTTTTCCTTTCACCAAACACAGTATATCTATGGAACTATTTTCTAGTTCTTCTCATTGACACTCCAACCGTGTTCATTTTTATGTTTTCTTTCATCACCACCCACATAGTTTCAACAAGAAACTACAAAATCAGCCACCACCTTTCACGCTTTCCATCCTTCTCTGTAAATCCCATTAATTTTACCAAAATTCTGTAAACTCTGGCTTTTACATTCATATTCTGTTAGCTTCAAACCTTATCATTCTATATCAATAGCTTGAAAACAATTTTTTCTACTTCTTCCTTCCTTCCTAATCTCTGCAATACCACTAGATTTATTTTACTAACAATAAATGAAATTATGCTATCTCCTGATTTAAAATTTTTGTGGATCGTCTCTTCCTTTCAGGATAAAATATATACTCCTTGGTTTGGCAAATTTAAGGTCTTTCATTATCGGTCCATGATTACCTTTCAGTCTTTATGTCTGTATGTTTCTTCCTGCAGCCCTACTCTCAAACTAATACTATATATTGCCCTTTATTTAAATTAAACTTTTCACCATTCCCAAACCACTTAGTGTTCTTTTACATCTCTTTGTTCTTGGATATGTTGTCCCCTCTGTCTATAATATCCTTCTCCATCATTTCGATCTTCTCTTTTATGTAGGGAAATTTTGATCCTAATACACAGATCAGTATCACTTTCTCTTTTTTTATTCCTATTAGTACATGTTTGCACTACATAATGTTTATATTCATTGCAGGGGATTGGTATATGTACATAACACATTT